AAATTTTTTGATCCAGTGACTGTCGAGATAAGTAATATTTAATAATTGTTGTAACTGAGGTTCATTACATCTTTTTGCTTTGAAGCGACAGAATGCGGCGCAACATATCTTGGGTCTGCAGCGGTTAGGTAACGAGAATGCTCCTCACCGTAGAAATCGTCATCTTCCAGTGCTTCATCACTTTCTTCATTCTGCAATTGACTAAGCAAAAAAGGGCTTCCAGTTTTCAAAGTTTTTTGCTCGCAAATGCAGTTTAAAAAAAAGAGACACCTATATTTTATTTTAAATAATTCGAAACAAAAACACCAAATACAAGCATATAGTACTCCCGTCCTTCCTCCTCTCCGCCTTTCTTCGGCGCTTCAGACAGCCAAAGAATTCCCACCAATTTACTATTAGCAATAAAACGGTAATAAGAACTAACTCGATATGGCGATGCTTCTCGTACGAATGAATTGGCAGCAGGAGTCTGTTTCACAGTGGCGGTTGTATCCTGTACTTCTTGTGAAATTGCATTGTTCTTTTCTTTCTGTAAAGTACGATTTAAAAAAATGAATTTCGTCATGAAACTTCACTACTCGCCTAATGTGGAAAGAATTTTAGGCATCTAATTACTTGTGTGCATCAATTGTAAGCTAGTTTCTCACAAATGAAAAAATACTGGACTTTCCAAAGTACGCAACACCTCCAGACAACATCTTGTCTGAAGGGAACAAAGCTACAAGAACAACATTAAGCGAAAGCAAAAAAACAAATTCGGTGACCAACTTTTGAAAGGTAAATAAAAAATTAAGACGTGGCTTTTAAACTCATCACTATAATTCAGAAAACCGAAACACCTGTCCCTTATTAGAAAAACAGTAACTACTCGGATCTTAGTAATTTATTTGAATTATAAACCAGAACTAACGTCATTGCCCAAATTGTTCACTGCATTTGTTGCTTCATGCTGAGAAACATCCTCCTAAAAGTGAATCTTGTAGAAAACGAATACAAAGAATCAGAAATCTAAAAATTAAGAACTTTTGTAAGTTAGAATTACAAAGGCTTTTAAACTGCGTCACTGCAGCCAGTTTTTTGAATATATTAAACTGATTACCTCAACTTTGGAGTCTTCAGCAGCCTCATTTTCATCTGTCAACACTCCTGCTAATCTCTTCAACTTTTTCAGATACAAATTGCGAGTCGTGTCCACTACAGGACCAACAGATTGGCCACGAGCCAAAAGTTCGTCACGAATTTGTCCATTGCTCAGTGAGTCAAAGTCTCCTGACGCCATCATAACGACTGGCTAAAAATCATAAAATAGACACATTATTCTGCCGACTGCTCGTCCTCCTTACTTCCTCGGCTCGCAAAAATGAAGTACAGTGAGAAAACGTATCAGTAAAGCGACATCAGTAAAACTAAACACGCGACGGGAAAATGAACCAAAATTGGTTGCTGTGCTAGAATTCCAAATTACCCTCGAAAATTTCCAGGTTTAAAAACTACAGAAACAAAAGTTGTATGATATCTAAGTCAAATTTGCGCCAAAGACATCAATAAAACCGATTTTGAAATACTTCTGACTATTGCACTGCTTGTTCGCAGAGTTAATTCAGAAGGAAGACTGACAGAATTGAGGGACAGTTGAAGCGTTCATCATCCAAATCGGCAGAGATGTAGCAAATAAAAAAAAGTTAAAATTAAAAATAAAAATGAAAAGCAGTGAGATCTGCGAAGAAATTTTTTGTTGTAAGTTTTCATAAATACTTAAACCACAATCATGGACTACAACTAGAAACTTACCCATAGTACAGGTCACTTTCCTTTTCAATTATTCCGTAATTCACAGGTATTTAAATTCAAAGCAGCAAAATCATATAATCCACATAAGTACCTGCAGTAAGTGCTCCTTTGTTAACATTTTACTTTATACCATAAAATCTAAAAGACAGAAGAACTGCTTCCCGATAAGAACAATTACTTTAAAAAAACTCACTCCGTATAACTACTGTAAGAAATGTAAACCATGAAATTCAGAGCCGAAGTTAAAACAACTG